TCTTTAAAGATTGGAAATTTTTGTTAGATGGGTCAGCGTCCAGTCAACTTTGTGAACCACAACTCTAGTGCATGGTGACATTTGGAAACCAACCTAGAGGTAATTTTACAGTGATCAAGTGTGCCGCTGTCGCTGGAGATTCTGATAGTTTTGTTCTTTATGTAACTTTTCTTGCACTGAGCGTTAGTTCAACCAACTCTGATTGGAATACAGTAGGAAGTTTGCCTAATGGTTGGGTGATATGGAAGTTCACTTCTTTGAAGTAAATACCAGTGCTTGTTCCTTCCGTTATTTTAGATCCGTTAAGATGAATATGCCACGTCTTCATCAAAAAGTTTTTCCAAATGTGAGCGAGTCCGATCGCCCTTCTAGGATATGCAAAATTGCTTAATCGCCTCGCCCAGCATTCGAGAATGGCCCACCTCAGTACCCCTGCTATTCAACAGCCCCTTATTTTTCATTCATTTTTCATAGCAGTGTACAGCCCTAGGGAGAAACAAGTACCATTTTTGGTGTGCACCAAAAATTCAAATTCAAATTAATTCAAACTAATTCACGTTAATTCAAATTAATACACGGTAATTCAAGTTAATTAACGTTAATTCAAATTAGTTCACATTAATATACGTTAATTCAAATTAATATACGTTAATTGAAATTAATTCACGTTAATTCAAATTAATTCACGTTAATTCAAATTAATTCACGTTAATTCAAATTAATACACGGTAATTCAAGTTAATTCACGTTAATTCAAATTAGTTCACATTAATATACGTTAATTCAAATTAATTCACTTTAATTCAAATTAATTCACGTTAATTCAAAATAATTCATGTAAATTCAAACTAATCTATACAATTTCTGAGAGGGAAACACATTGAGATCCCATGAACTACGATAGAGTCGCAACTTTGGACCAAATAACATTGAGGACATTTCTTTACATTGAGAGATCGACTGCATCTAGGATTGCATTAACGATCCTCGAGATAGTTCATAATTTTGTATTGCTGTCTGTCTTGTGTGCACAATAACTTCGTGTAGTCTACATACAAAATTTCATGTAATTCGGTTGATAAATAACGGAGATGTCAAAAGGGCCTTCCTTATTTTTTGGCCTACTTTGCGTTTACGAACTCCTATCTTCAAATTTGATACGGAATGCACCTGTAAAATTTTATCATAATCGGTCCAGACTGTTCTCTTTTAAATCGATGGATATGAAACCATCGAGCGATCGGACGATTGGAAGACAGCATAACCGTCTCGTATAAAACTCGACGCTAATATAAAAGTGGCCGCCATTTTGTTTCAAAGGGTGTAAATTCACAACTTTGTACGAGATATTTATGAGTTATAAAGTTTGGTCAAAAAACGGTTCATAATTACGAAAGTTGTTTCTTGGAAGTGATATAGAAATGCAAATTAGTTCGGGTCAATTCATAATAATTCAAATTAATTCATGTTAATTCAAATTAATTCACGTTAATTAAAATTAATTCACGTTAATTCAAATTAATTCACGTTAATTCAAATTAATTCACGTTAACTCACATTAATTCAATTTAATTCAGGTTAATTCAAATTAATTCCCGCTAATTGAAATTAATTCACATTAATTCAAATTAATTCTAAGGGGTGTACACAAAAAATTCAAAGTTGTTTCCCCTTAGGTACAGCCACAAGACAGTCTTCAGGGATGGTCCCCAAAATCTTCTAATTATTATTATCCCTCTCTTGTTTTGGGCCCTCAACAGGCATGCGCCCAATTACAGAGTGACCCGCATAATGCTATTTAGAGGTGCCTCTGCAGAGGGTCTTAAGTTGGTCTATACTACTCCGGTATTTACCTTACGAATTAGGCGCGGCGATTTTGTCAGAAAGCCTTATTTGCTTGTTCGGCTTTGAGCTAGATATGTTTACTCAATTCAGTTGTTTGTCAAGTGTGATTCCTAGATATTTTACCGACTCTGAAAATTGGAGGTGTTCTTGGGGGAGTTTGAAGACCCTCTACCTTTCTTTTTCTTGTAAAGATATATCTACACAAATATTAATTTATTTTAAATAATCTTTGCACAGTTGACATAAGCGCCCATTCAACGTATGTTTTAACGTGTTAGATCATGTCGCATATGGAGTTCCAAATTGCTGCTTGTGTGAAACCGTCAACATCGCTAACGGGTTTCTTATATAGCTTTGTTTTTTTAGCACTCTCTAGTGATTTGCCCTGTTTAGAAATTTATGCAATAGAAATCACTGTTCACAGGCTAATATTTAATGCATCTGCAATGCAACTCTGTGAAATGAAGATGATAGAATTGGACCACCATTATCCCTTTTTGGCGCAGAATACCGCATATCGAATTTTTATCGGCTAATGTAGCAAAACAATGATAATAAAATAACAAAAAAATCTTTTTTATTTTTTAAATAACGCACAACTCTGTCTCAAAAACCTATATTTGTTAAGTACATTGATCAGTCTAACACAGGGGTCGGCAACCTATTGAAACGGAAGAGCCAAAAATTACAATTTACAAAATTTCCCAGTTTTTAAAGAGCCACAAAAAATTTTTGATTCAATATTATAGTATTTGGCTATATACAGGGTCCTACAACACTGCGTCAGTTTTTCCTACATAGCTGATACCTGGTAAAAAATATTGGTGGTTGCGGATCTACAGAGATTATTTTTGAATGTACAGGGTGTCCCATTTTTACGATGTCAATAAATAACTGATCTTTTTAAATAGAACATCCTGCATATTTTTACTCGTTTCAATACCATTTGTTCAAAGTGCTATAACTATTCTTTTTCAAATGGAACTACCACTATTTTATTTCGCTATTCGATTGTCTTTTGTGTTCTCTTCAATGTTTATAAGGGGTGCCTTGTGCTTAACCCCCACAGTTTTTATGTTATTCAATATTTTTCATAAATGTACCTACTCATTAATTAATTACGTGTTTATACATCGGAGTAGGCTGCTATAATAAAAAAAAAACAAAAGAATACCAGAAAGTAAACAAGTGTCACAAATTAGATAATTATTTTCTGCAAGTGTACCTACTTTTGATTTCGCAAACAAATAAGATTAATTAAAAAGGTGAATTTCGAACAAATGAACTAATTTCTTTAGATAAATATGGAGAGCCGCAATTTTATATCAAAAGAGCCGCAGGTTGCCGACTCCTGGTCTAACATAATCACATAATTCTTTTATTTATTGTGGTTTAAAATGATTTTTTTGTATTTTGTGAATACATTGGCATTCCAATATTCCCCAAAAACAGAATTGACGACGTGCGCGCGAACTAAGAAAAATCTTTTAATTGCAAGCGTAGATGATGTAAAAACAAGGGAATCTGCAGTCTAATAACATTTGTCTTGTGTCTTATTTATTTACCATAAGCGATATTAGATGTGCAATGAAAGTGTTTTCGCTGTCTTGGTCATTTCTAGACAAATCTTCTTTTTCGATTCTTAAAAACGATTAATATTGTTTAATGGCTTTTGCTATAAAATAGCACATATTTTGTATCATACGCAATAATAAAGTGAAAGTCAATTCACTTGGTTAAACAATATCCCTTCATTGTCTTGTATAATATGTTTGTTAGTATGTGTGATTTGTACCCACAGACAGCGAAAAACTGCTTTTCTTACTTCAAAGATTACTAAAAAAAATTAATCTAATTATTAACAGCTTTTTTCCTCTCATTAAAGTGTTTGGGGGGGGGGGGGGGTAAACTATAACAGACAAGCCATTTATTTTGGTGTTATATTAGCTTGTTATCACAAGAAAACCTTTTATTATTTAACAATTACCTTAGAAACTACTAAAGGATGTTGTCAATCCTTTATATGTTTACAAATTTATGTAAAAAATCAATATATTTGAAAACAATGTATTTATTTTTTTTTAACTTTCAGCCTTTGTGTGCGCATGTTGGATTGGTTTGACTACCATGGACATATGTGTATTGCATTTCAAATGTTGGGCCTTAGTGTTTTCGATTTTCTAGTAAGTACCAGATAATGATGCGATATTTTCATTTAAAATGGGTGTTTTTGCAGAAAGACAACAACTACCATCCATATCCGTTAGAACAAGTAAGACATATTGGATACCAATTGTGTTTTTCTGTGAAATTTCTGCACGAGAATAACTTAACTCACACAGATCTAAAGCCTGAAAACATCTTATTTGTAGATGCCGATTTTGAAACAACGAATGTTTATAGTAATAAGAGAGTACGTATCCAAATTTAATAATGTTGTCTTCTATGTATACTTTTTAGTTGCGTGAGGTGAAGAGAGTGAAGCGAACTGATGTTAGGCTAATTGATTTTGGTAGTGCAACATTTGATCACGAACACCATAGTACTATTGTATCAACAAGGCATTATCGTGCACCTGAAGTGATATTAGGCAAGTTCGATTTTAATTGCGATAGTTGTGTAATTGTGTACCGATTTTAGAATTAGGTTGGTCGCAGCCATGTGACGTATGGTCAATTGGCTGCATTTTATTTGAATTATATCTCGGCGTAACATTATTTCAAACGCACGACAACCGAGAACATTTGGCTATGATGCAAAGGATTCTTGGCGAAATACCCATACGGTGGGATTATTATCACGTAAAATAGAAATTGTACGATTTTTTTTTAGAATGGCAAGAAAAACTAAGACAAAATATTTTCACCGAGGCAAATTAGATTGGGATGAGAAAAGTTCGGCAGGTCGATACGTTCGAAATAATTGTAAACCTCTAATGGTGAGTACTATTGCAATTGGACTTATGCAGTAAGCACATTGACTTTAATGTCGATCTTAAAATGATTCAATCCAATTGACTTTTGGTATCATATTGGAAAAAATTGGTATGGTGTTATGATGTACACTTAATTTGAAATTGTTGAAGTATAAAATGATCGAATATCTTCATCATATACCCCTTGAAGTTTTGTACTTCCCATTAATGAATCCATCTGGGTCATACAATAATAGAATAATCAACCATTTAGTGAAAAGGTGTACTTTTGTAAGATTGGTGATTCATAGTTGCCACAATATGCACTTGGGGCTATACACAACTTTTGCAGTGCTAGATATTTAAAAAAACAAATGATATAAAAACAAAAAACCATCAGAAAGTGACCAGAAATATTAGATATTAAAAGAGTACAACGAACAGGTGTTGCAATAATCGATTGGGTGTGACGTAGGGTTAGTTCTCAGGCTCTTCAAATGGTGATAGAAGAGTAATTACACTCACCGCTACTGAAAATACACCTTCAAAATTACTAAAAATAAAAAAAATGCATATACCACGTACGCATATCGCAAGGCATAAAGTAAACACAAAGTAAATTTACTTTTTTAAGTTAAGACAGCGAAGTTTCTACCATAAAATTACAGAAGCAAGTGCAGTGCAATATGAAAATTCACGTTTCAGGGACGTCATAGCTCACTTAACGGCTAAACAGCTAACTGGTAGCGTAGGGTCACCGAATTCCCCCGTAAAGTGCTGAACGTGCATTCGGTGCGCAAGGACGAGTTACGACTCTTACGAGGCAAATGACTGTGTTATTTTTTATTTAATTTAATTTTAGTAAAGGCGAACCAAAGCGTTGGTTGTTGTTTCCCTTTTGCGAAATAGAGAACATTTTTTCCATTTAATTAAAAAGTAAGAGTACACCGAACAATAGGTCAGAAAAGAGAACATTACTCTTAAAAAGAGTACGTCTGGTCACCTTAGCTCAAATTATCTTTTTAAATAGAACGGTTACTTTTTTCTGTAATATTCTTAGAGCTTGAAATTCTCTTTACAATGATATCAAATATGTTACCTTAGAAATTAAAGCTGCAGTAATGTGTTTATAACCAACCGCAGTAACTGTGGAAATTTAAACAAAAACAAAAAGAGGTTTTCAGTTAACATATCTTGTCACAAAATTAGTTAGTGAACAATATAACTTATAAGAACTGCAATGCAACAAAATAATAATTACACAAATGATAATAATAATAATATTTTATTCGTTGTGTCGTTTTCGACATGATGAAAAAATGTTAGCAGTGTAATGTAATGATGCAATGCATTTAAATTTGTCTTAAGTTATAATAATTATTCCTGTAACTACTTTTCATTTGTTTTCTTTGCTCCCTGTTGTAAATGTTACGTTTTTGTTTAAACTTCCACAGCTACTGCGATTGGTTCTATACACATTACTGTAGGTTTAATTTCTAAGGTAATTATAACATATTTGATATCATTGTAAAGAGAATTTCAAGTTCTTTAAGAATATTACAGAAAAAAGTAACCATTCTATTAAAAAAAATTAACTTGTTTTCTGATGTTCTTTTGTTTTTATATCACTTGTTTTTTAGAATATGTAACTTTATTAGAATTTGAAAGTAGAGTATTTTTGCCTCTTTTTCTATCTCCAATAATAAAAGAGATACACGCTTGGACATGCAAAATAAATCTCTGTATAACCTAGATGGCGCGGTTGTAATACAATTTGTAAAGTCACTAGATATAGAAAGTACCCCAATCATCATTTTGGGCAAATTTGCTGCCAACTTAAAAAAATTTTATATTTTATAACCTAACTTCATAGTACTGTCATATTTTATAAAAATATATACAGATAGCTCCAAACAGGTGGAACAATCCCTAACATTAAAGTTACTAGAAACTGGTAACTTCCGCCATTTTTGGGCAAAAATCATGCGTTCTCTCTCTAACACACGAGTCCAATGGATTGCGGTACTTTCTATATTTAGTGACTTTAACAATTTGAATGAGCAGTTTAACATGGATTTAATAATTAAATTTACCCTACATTCATTTCATTTTACTGAATATAATTAATTACAGTATCTATCTATTCCACCTTCACGAGACATCCATATTGAGCTCCTTGGCGTGTTACAAGGTTTCAAGACATACATTGATTTTTTTTAAACTGAAGTCATTTTAATACATTGCGCTTGTAGCAATGGATTGAGAGTAGTACCACCCTGCATACCAATGGGTTGCTTCTTGGTTTGCTTGAAAAGTGTGACTTGAGGGCACGGGGCAATGTACTTACTGCATTAGACTGAATATTTAACTGTGTTTTTAATGACTTGAATTTGTAGAGGTATAGACAAAGCGAAGAAAGCGACCATATGCAGTTGTTTAATCTAATCTTACGAATGCTAGAATATGAACCTTTGCAGAGGATTACTCTACGAGAAGCTCTTGCACATCCATTTTTCGATAAAATACCGGCGCATCTTCGACTTGGAGATCCACAAGGTTCGGTCGACATTAGACGAGAACGTAGTCTTTCAATTTCCCGATGAAAGTGGTAGTACCAAGTTTTGTTATCGCCTTATTTATTTGACTAATTAAGACGTCCGATTATATTCTTAGTTAATGAAATCTACGTGAAAATAATGCAAATTTGCGAATCTTGATCGTGCGTGGGTAAATTTTATATGCGCAATTTCTTATTTATTATGTCGTGAGAATACGTTTGAAAGGACATCACAAATTATGTTACCCAAGACTGCTTAGCGCAAGTTAAAATTTGTAACACGAGAATTATAAAAAATTCTTAATTGTATAATAATTTTCACATCCTGTTGTAAAATATAAGTTGTAAAAATAGAAGAAATTCGTTAGATTATAAGAATTTAGTTTTGTATAATTTGTATGAAAAATTTTCATTTTTCGTGAGAACTGCTCTAGGAAAAGATTATACATTGTGTATTGTATATATTGCAACATACAAATTAAAATTTTACTTTTCATTAATTTGCTTTTATGATTTCAATTTGTACGCTGTTGTAATAGGTTCCCTACAATTTAAAAAATCACATTTCTTCCCTGTGACATTTAATCCTTACCTACCATATAATTCTCTCATATCTCTTTTTAAAGTACGCTACTTTTGAAAATACTGCCCTACTTTTAAAAACAACCCTCTGGCACCAATTGTTCAAGAACAGGAATACTTTATACATTTTTTTATGGAAAATTTGAATATGGCATCTTGTTTTAATAACTTTCAAGATATCGAGAAACACTTATTTTTTCTTATGGACGCCATTTTGAATTTTGCCATTATGAGATTACGTCTTTTTCTCTACATTAATATATCACATGGCGGCTCAGTATGACATTTTTCCTAAAAATAAAATTGTCATTTTTTGGGAAGAGTGATTTGGAAAAACAAAAGTTGCTTGTAAGTAGTGTCGTTTACGTTTGTGCCAGTGTTATTGCAAAAATACCTTTTTCAAGTGCAGAACAAAGATATGATACAAATTTACTACCCTTCAAAATGCCCACAAAGCTGCTGCAACCTATTTGCAGTGTTATGCAGATCAGCAACAACCTAGTTTGAGGTATTTTTCTTTGCTGTATAAAAACTTGGACGAATATGGTCTTTTAAAAGATGCAGACAGCAATATGATAGGTACAATTAGGGTTGCCATCCGTCCGGGTTTCCCCGGATTTGTCCTAGTTTAGGGGGCGTCCGGGGAGCGTCCGGGCGGGGTTTCATTGGTAATCCGGGTTTTAAGCTACTGAGGCATCTATGACTTTCTGTCAAAATGTAAGCCGACAAAACCAATCAGCTTTGGTTACAATTTTTTAAAACACTGAATCCTCATTTATACTTGGAGTTATTGAAAATTGCCTAGTGCTTTTTTTGCATTCCTGCTCATAATGACCCCGCTGGACCTAGCCCCCCCCCAAATAAATCTCAACTACTATAATTAATAATTCAGTAGATCTTCGGGCTGGTACCTAATCACGGCATTTTATTTTTCTGCCGCGCTGTGTATAATATTTTTTTAAACGCATTATTTATTAAACTGTTCCCAGGAGGCTTATATTTTTAGAATACGTAATGGCTTTTTAATTATATTTTTTTGTAGGCGATATCGGCGCTAGTTCAAAGTTTATGGTCATTTGAACAATTTTTTTGTAAATAAAATTCTAGATTTTTTCAGTAATTCGATTTTTTGTCCGTAAGGATGCATTTTTTGTTTCAGAAAATGAATGGCCATCTTTTATTTATGCGAAAATGATACCACACTTGCCCTAGTAGTTATAATTTAGCAGTTATGACGACCAACAGCGCGCGCAGCGTAAGAAAAGTTTACCCCTCCCTCACAGCAGCGTGTCTCTCGCTGCCTCCCGGGCGATTTCCATTCGGGTCCACCTAAGTAGAAAGTGTACCAAATCTGGTGCTTTAATGACAAAAATATTGGTGTTGGCGTCCACCCCACTATGCATAAAAATTAATTTGAAATAAGTAAACGATAACAGAGGAGGGGCTACGTCCAAGTGGAACTGGCCGCCCCATCGATTATATCTATTTGCCCTTTTAAGGGTGGCGCTCAAAAATCGAAATTACTTGTAAATGAAAGCTCTTAAATAGCTCGTAATTCCAGTACAAATTTAATTTGAAAAAAGTAATTCTGATCAGTGGGGGGGCTGAGTCCAAGTAGACTCGGCCACCCCATAAGAAATGTTCGATTCCTAGTGATTAAAGCGAGCTCTAAAATTTTAAGCTTGCGATATGAAAAGCTCCTAAATAGCTCATAAATTGGATACCATTCTTAAATTGATTCACAATGGTGGGGGGGCTAGGTCCAGCGGGGTCTCATAATGCCAACGTTGAAAGAAAATGTTCACTAGTGACATAACAGTGGACCAAAGAAAGGAATTTATTGAATATTGAAACATTCTAGTCAGTGATAAAAATAAAGTACAATTTCAAAGACTATTTCTTTAGACAATATTTTTTTATCAAATTCAGTTGATATGTCCGGGTTTATAATCCCTAAATCCGGGGTTTTCACGCTTCCTGTCCTAGTTGGCAGAGTTTTGAGATGGCAACCCTAGTTGAGTGGGAAGAGTGGCTATTAGCTAACACTCCTTTTACTATAAAATAAAGACAATACAATAAAATAAAAATAAAGAAGTCACTGATACCTGCGGATGCTGACGGCCTTGGCTTACTTCCACATCTACTGATAACAAGCGGCCATTTGGCTGTGAAATATGTCACCGGTTCATGAAGGAGATTTAACATCGGGGGTCGACCCTCTCCTAAGGGACAACTTTCGTAACTCTTTAGGGTCTTAGTTGATAACTCTTTCACCCCTTCAGTGTTACATATTACGATTACATTTAGGTAATCTGTTAACATCAGTATCTACTCAGTATCTTTGCAATCTCAGTTAAGTTATGATCGAGTTTGAAACGAGAATGTTGCTGTAAACCACAACTTCGTTCTGAAGGGGTTTACCAATTAAATACCGTACCTGGTATAGAAGCAGATTACGAGTATAACGAGACCCTTCAGGCATTAATCAACTAATTATATACCGAGCACTGCGGCTTGGAAGGTTTTTCTTTTTGATTGTTTTCAGGTGGATGAGAGAACTGACCTCATTTCTTGGCGTTTATTCAAGGTAAGAGTTGCCTTATATGTTTTACTTGCACTTGGGCCTATACGTGCGAATTTTTGCCCGGAATATCAATTTGTTTGGGGAAAGTTGTTTTAAGAGTCAGTAATTAGTTTAATCGATTATTTATTCTTTTGGGGAAGTTAATTAGGAATTTTCTGTGAAGTTTAACGTACGTAATTAATATGATTTAATGTTGGAGATACTTTAATTCTATTTTATTTTTCTAACCCTGAGCTAGTTGGCCGTTTATGCTGCGGGTTTGAAGTAACTCCGCGCCAGTTCAGCCTACCGTTATATGGTATAATATCGTTGGTAAATTGAATAGATCTAAAGCTGTACTCTTCGTAAAAGAATTTGCCATTATTGCCATTATTATCATTTCACTCCAATCTTGTGTACTTAAGGGTTGAAAAGTTGTAGAGAACTCTATACGAATGCTTATATTCACTTAGTTTAGTAAACGTGTTTCCTATATTAATGAACCCTTGCCTGAAAAGGTTTCAAAATTGTACATGGAGTTACTTTTAAAACAATGGCATAGTTCTCATAGTCTCACTTTAATGAAACTCACTGCATATGCATGTGTTACATGACCGCATGTAAAAAAAATGGGTGATAGAGGGGATCAAGACAAACATTTTTTCCAAATTTCCCCAAAGAAGTGGTGAAATTTGGATTTCTTCTTTAATTTTTTTCCCAGCAACCATAAGAGTTATAAAGATGGATGGCACGTCTTTGAATAGGTTTTCAGGTATGCCCTATCTTATTTTGAAGAATTTTTTTCAAAATTCCTACCACGAAAGTGCGCTCCCTACTTGGGGGTGCAAACAAATTCTAATTTCGACGAAATTTGGTATCTGGGGGTTTCTGAAAATGAAAATCACTAATCTGGCATTAGTTTCTGAAAATTCGAAAAAAAAGTGCTACTGACTTCTTGGCCGGACAACAAAAATGGAGAGTACATACTAAAACTGTCTAACAGTTTTATAAAATCAGTTATACTCATTTGAAGATTGGATCTTCGGGAAACAAAGTGTCCCCCGCCTACTAGTGAGTGATCTAATTTCGCATGAAAATGTCGCAAATAACAAACAAAAATTTCATCACTTCTTTGAGGGTGGCTCCCAAACGAAACACGTTGGGCCCTCGGTTTATTTGGAAAAAGTGGTTGTCTTGATCCCCTCTGTCACCCATTTTTTTTTAGATAGGGTCATGTAACATGCTGTATACGGCTTTAGGGTTGCAATGAACCATTGCATATTAGCCGCATCATTAAAACGAAAACGGAACTAAACAGACCAGGTCGCGAAACGGCCGTCAGGTTTTTAGATAATAAAACAATGTATTTGTATTTGGTTCACTTTATGTATAGTAAGGCAAATAGAAAGTTATAGATTTCGGGAACGAGCCAATCGAGTGTGTAATTTAAAAACTGCGTATCGAAGTAAAGCACACGTGTAAAGGCAGTTCTACCCTTCAAGCAGCGAGTGTTTTCCTGTGATAATAATACCCAGTTATCATGATGTTACAAAACATTACATATAGTCGAATAGCATTTAGTAGCAAATATTTTCAGCTTAACTTCGACTCGTTCAAGGCACTTTTTCCAATAAGAAATTGTTCGAAAACGCCAACGAACGAATGTTTGTTCCTTAAACCTACACATTAATGACGATATCATTACAAAAAGAATTAGACAAAGAGATTTATCACGAATAAAAATCACCATACAATAACCTCAGTTACAGCTTTGAATATAAAATAGATACAGGTAGATATTCTTATAAAATATAGATACACAATTTGTGTGTTGTGTTTAAAAAGCATTTTCGACACTCTTCATTGCATGTCATAACACGTATATCAACTACGACACTCTCCACACTGAGCTTCACAATTAGAATAGGTAAGGGAATAGTTCTGTGGATGCGCTTACCTGTTTATAGCCGTGTACACTTACTCCATACAATTTGATGACCTTATCGACTTCCAAGTGTTCGGTTCGCTGATTATAAAAGTGTGATAGCTATTAGCCCTTATTCTACGGATCGTCACATTTTGCGATCGCTAAGATTATACTTTATTTCAAGAATGCAACATCAGGTAGGACCTAAATAATATTTCATTTTATTATTGTCACCGGAAACTGACAATAAATTGTTATGAATTCTTAAAACTACGTCCAAGTTTTATGGAAGTCCATGCCACATTCGATAAACTTGACAAT